GTTTCATATTCAATTTTAAATTTTATATTTGAAGAATATAAATATTTTCTTTGATTACAATTATTATTATATGATAAAGAATTAATAATTAGTGATAAGACAAGTTGGAATATATGTTTGCTGTTGAGTTTATTTTTTGATATTTTATATAAAAATTATTAAAATTTGTTGACATTTATCAAGTAAAAATGTTAAAATTATTTGATAAATTTTATAATTAAAAAGAAAAATGTTTTATATTTCCAACAATATAAAAAAATGATAATAACATGAATTACAGCTTCTCTGTGTTCATCAAACGATTTTTCGAAAGTTTTACAGCTTTTTGGGATGACGTCATCAACCTTAGACCCAAATTTAAGGCGTCTTTAAATCCAAGTCAGTTGTTACATTGAGTGTTACTTTTCTTTTTTTATCAACAGTTTTGATTCCTAAAGCTTGTATCCAATTGAAGAATATCCCAATGACATTCTGAACGACATAATAATCATACGCCTCCATTGAGTTCTTTGCTGTCTCAAGTCTTCTTTTAATCGTAATTAAATCGCATTTTCAAGTTTTTGTTATCGAGTGGGAGTGACACCAAAAGTAGTCCTATTTTATTTCCAAATTGTATCTTGGGTTCATACATCTGTTAATAGGCAGTAACATAGAAATTGACTTCAGTCTCATTTCCGCCTTCTCTTTCACAAATTCGCCTAACTTGTCTGTCATACAAGAGAAGAGCAATGTGTTTTAATTCCCACAAAACTGCTTAACAACTTTTTGAACAAAGTCTACAGAAGACATCTTTCCCCAAACACACTGTTGTTTTCCAATCAACTTCTTCCTCAAATAATTCATGCTGTCGTTGTGTGCAAAGAATACTCCTGACATGTAGGTGGGAATGAGCGAAATTTGTTTCACTCTGGTTTAATTCCCTTTTGGTTGTTTTCTCAATGTCAATACGGCAAGTTTGGTAATTTCCTTGTTGATCTCCAAAAAGAAGTACTTTGATTCGTTGTAATTTAACCCGAGATTTGACGCTTCTCCAACTTCTTGCATTAATCTGACTGATGTGAGTCCATCAACCAGACATTGGGATATCTTGACAACAAACTGTTTGCTACATTCGGACTCGGGACTGGGGGATTCGGGGGATCGGGGGGACTGGGGACACGGGGGCCTTTTGCCGACTTGAATCCAAGCCGGCATCTGTTTGATTATACATTGTTATATGGTATAATATTATATGTTGTAAAATAAAGAAGAAAAAACAACCTTGCATTTCATTGTGATTGAATATGAAATTTGTGCTTAAATATAAAATTGTTCGTTATTTTTTAATCTATGTGTTTCTTTACGATAAAAAATACGATAATTTATTAATACAACGTTGAAATACAAACACACTGGATCTTTTATGCGTTTTTTTGATTTTTTTAGGTTTATAATGCATTGAATGCGCACAAATTGTCTGTATTCACTATTCAAAAACTAACTCCAAACAACATTTAATTATAATCATATTTTTATTTTTTTCAAATTTACAAACAATGTTATAATGTATAATTATTCTAATTATTAATTTTTATTCAAAATAAAATAACAGTCAATTTTTTTATTAAAAATACAAATAAATTGTTTATTTAAAACAAAACACGATGTTGATTTTATGATTAAATTAATAAAAGTATGTTTAATGATTTTAAATGTGTTTACTATAATATATATCGATTTACAAAAGCCTTTTTTATATTAACATTGAAATGACGTTTTGTTGTTTTTTTTATTTTTTATTAATATTTAACTGGTAATTTAAAAATTAGAAATATTGAAAATATTTTTTAATATTAATATTATTATTAATATTAATATCATATATTTATAACAAACAAGATACAGATACCCGAAAAATAGTCCGGCACAGAAAAACCGACCGGCAAACCATAAATTTATAGTATATTATAGTTTTTAGTTTTTTGTCCTGTTTTTTCAAATTTTGCATTAAAAAAACTATTAAATAGTTTTTAGAAACCATTTTTATAGTTTGCCGGTCGTTTTTTCAGGTATCTGTAATCATTTGAATTGATTTTTTTTATCTTTTTTACATTCGTTTTAAAGAGCCTTTGTTCTATATAATAAACATTATGACAAATAATAACTATTTTCATTAATTATAATAACATTTTAAAATTAAACAACTGGAACAACAAAACAAATGTCATGATTACATCTCTATTAATAAATCCAACAATCTGAGTTATTTTTACATCACATTTAAGTTGATTGTGTGTAAATTGACAAACATAAAACATAATTCGTTGTTAAAAATGTTAACATTCGAATATTAAAAATTTGGTTAATTCATTATCTCGCATAATAAATTTATCACCACACTAACTTACAAAAATAAATAAACAATTTGGATAATTATTGAATTTTTTTTTAAAATGAATTTATTTTTAAATTATAATTCTCAAAATATTACTTTAAAGTTAAATTTCAACTAATCTTTTTTTTATTAAAATTCTTATTAACAACAAATTTGATTCTCAGCTTATTTAAAAAAATTAAATGATTTTTCTCTAAGTTGACTTTGACCTGAGAATGGTGGTTTATAACATAATTTGAATTGTAAAAAAATGTTTTTAAATTTATGTGTTGAGGCGGTTGTGATATACATATATTATTTTCTTTATTTTTAAAAAAAACTTCAACAATTAATTTGATTCACTCAATTAACTTATGGTTATACAAATGTTTTTTTATTCGAAGTTTTAAAAAATAAATCAATTCACAATGATAATATCAAACAAAAAACAACAAGAATAAACATCATTTTCTCTTCACTTAAAAGTTATACAAAATGCGTTTTTGGGAAATGATGTTCAAGAATAACAAAACCATTCGAAAATATAATGTTTTATAAAAATTTAAATAAAATAGTAAAAAACCTATAAAATTAAACTAGTCTTAGCTTAAAAAATTGAATGGCGGTTGAAGTCGAAACAGACACCTTTTTGTCCGCCCGATTTTACACGTTCAAATAATCCTGAAATTTGCTGCATTTGTTGCATTCTCCCCTTTAAGTTATTATTCCCACAAATCGTTATAATTTCAAATTGTGCAACCTGTTGAGTCCGTAAAGCCACATTAAACTAAGGCTTTCTTTACTGTTGTTTGAAAATCACGACTCAGACTGTTTAATATTCTTTGTTTCGCTTCAACCACAAATTATTTTTCTTTTTTACCCAAAACTGTCTGCAAATAAATACCATTCGACATGTCATCGAACGTGTCATTAAGCCGTAAAATGGCTTTAGCAGCGTCAGAGAGTTCATTCATGTTGTCGTGGACTTTGTCTTTTACATTTATTATGAAAATGTATTTTTTTTATAATTGAAGGTTTTTTATTACGACTATTAAAAATATTATAAAATTATTTAATACCTTAATATTATTTTTTTATAGTTCAATTATAGTAAATATAGTGTATGTTGTAAATTAAAAGATCATTTAAAGTTCTATAAGAAAAAATCAAAAAGGCGGGCAAAAATATGTCTTTTTTGCCAATTAAGTGTTAAATGGAACTCATTTAACATAAAAAAAATAAAAAACTTTTTGATTGTATATTTTTCTATATTCAATACATCAATTGCAATTACTTCCATTGCTTTGATGTATATAATTTATGTATTTCACTGGAACACAAAACATATTTACACAGTAACTACTGATAATTCATAAATTACAAATCCACAACAAGAAATCAGTTTTGAAAAAAATACCTCATTAAGTTTTTTATGATCTTAATATGAAGTAAGTGACAACAAAATGTTTTGATTATATTTCATTTTAATTGGGTAACATCTTTATAAATTACCCATGAGTAAAAAAAGAAAGCAAATAGATCACAAAATTTTTGAATTTGACAGCTGAAAGTTAAACAATTATTTAAAAAAAACAAATTTTAAGTAAAAAGTTACTTTCTCGTGAACAATATACAAAATAAATAATAACTTTAATTAACTTTCAAAGTACACGACCACAACAAATGGATTTGTGAAACACATATCATTCACTGTGTTTAAATCAACAGACATCATATTCAAAATCTGACCATGTCACGTTGTAAACCAATTTTGCATTCATAGCAAATATCCTTTCATATATTGCAATAACCGTATTTTCAAACCAACAACAGTTGTAATATAAGTGAAGTAATGTCAACACGCCGAAAAAATGAGTGCAGCAATCGCCACAAACAGATTAAACATTTCACTCGTCCATTTTTTGGTACTGCCAAGATAACAACACGGCGATTTGTTTGTTGGTCATGATGATTCTGAAATGTCCACGTCGTTCCATTTAGTATCAAAGTTGATCATAACACTATGTACAAATATGGGGATGAACAAAATGACATCATAAATAAGTCTTGGAATTACTGCGATTAACGTAGGCTTTGCATTCAATCGGATCATCACTCGCAACAATTTGGGATTTAGTTATTGTTTTGCATTTTTCCAAGCAATTTCGAATTGACTTGTCAAGTGTTTAGCTCTCTTTTTATGTCCAATTCTTGTATATCGGACTCATTGAGTGACGTTTTATGTTAATTTATACAATCTCTTCATCTTTTAGAAAGGTTACAGGAGGCAGAATAATTACTTGACAAAGAATAAATTGATTGACAGAAAGATGATTGGCCAAAATTCTTAAATACAGTATGGAGAGAAAGTAACACCACATTTTTTCAGTATATAATTCAAGTCAATTTTCGGGAAGAAAAATTCAAAGAAAAATTCCATTAAAAAATTCCCGAAAAAATAAACAATTTTCATGTGAAAAAATGTGGTGTGGCTTTCTCCCCTGGTGTTACTTTCTCCCCATTCTTTAATAATTTTTGGTTAGCTGTTTTGGGTTTATTTTTTTTCGGGAATTACCACTTATTCTATTTTAATTATTAGAAATTACTTGACAAAGACTAAAAACGGCGCTTATTTTTTTTCCAAAAACAAAAATGGAACTGAACTCGATTAAGAAATGTCTTTTCAAACAATTCAATTCTGGATCTCCTCCAATTCGCCAATTGTGAGTGTGAAAGGCTCGAGACTCTGTTGAAGCGCGTCAACAGGACTGCCATAGACTTAGTGATCTCCATGGTATAATACATGGAAGTCCTCGCAAATATGGGCAATTTGAGTTTTTAAAATGGAAATGGGTTGCTCTAAGTTACCTGAAAATTCGATTTGTTGGGCTAAATGGTTGATATGCCTGACAAAAACCGAAGTTTCTGGTGCTCTTTTTCTCTCTCTTTCTAAATCAGATATCGAAACGGTCTCAATTTCATTGGGTGGAGCAGAGAGTCTTCTGGTTATTGCCACATTTGAAAACACATTGGCTTGGAAAAACGCACTAAACTCTTCAACGAGACGACTGGCAGATTTGATGTCAATATAAAAAACAAATCTGTTGTTGGTCAATCTTGAAACCATACCTGCTCGGCGAAAAGACGCAATTACAACTTCATGTGATGCGGAGGTATCCAAATAGTTGATAATTTTGGATAACGAGTTTTTGAGGCGTTGGCCAGAAGCTGCCCTTGTGTTTGAGTCTTTAATGGCGTCATTTGAAATATTGTTGTCCACAAAAAAATGCACTGACCAACTCTTTCATTGCTCCTGTTACGTCAAGTGTGCTACTTCTACCCATATGCTCGGCCGTACTTTCGCCAATTTGTCCATTATCCAACACAGAAGTGGGATGCTGTATATGAGGAAGCTCAGAGACACTTACAGCAGTTTTAAAGAAAAGAGTCTCTTCTGGCCATTTTTTCCCACGAACCAAATAAACACAAATCGAGAGGCTGCACCAAGTGAGAGCAGTGCGACGTGTACTTGTGAAGATGAATGTGATATATCAAAAGAAGACTCTTCAACTCCTTAAAATTGTGCCCACTAAATCCATCAATTGTTATCAATGAAGGTGCAGTTGCGGGAAGTTTTGACAGTAGTCTCTTGCACTCTATAAAAGGAATAACAGTCGTGGTCATCCATTCCATAAAAATATCCTTTGTGACAAAGCCGGTGCTGCTTGTATAAAATGAAGCGTTTGTGTATTTGGAAAGGAGCTCAGTATAAACAGTCTTATTGGCGACGACAATTCCGAGGCATACGACTGCACCATCAAGGCATATTATGCAAATTATTGTCGAACGTTTCCCTGATCTTTCAACTCCTATTTTGATGTTTTTCTCGTCGACGTCAGCGGGAACTAGAATCTTGACCACCTTTTTATCACAGATATCCTGGAAACCAATTTCATCGACGTTAAATACCAGTCAGATGTCGGTGCCATTGAATTGGGACATTTCCAGATAGTTATTGACAATATCACAAGGATTGATTGTGATTCTCCCCAAATCCTTTGGTTTTCCTTCGACAGTTTTCAAGTTGAAAACTCGGAGCGCCCACTTTCTTACAGTTTCTTTGTTGAATGTGCGGTTGTTTATTTTCTGAACCAATTTGTCGAAGGAAGAGAGAGTCATAGCCAACTTTTGTTGGGAACAGTAATCAATAAACATTTTGCAATTGTAACTGTTTTTTGATCGAACAAAAAAGGTCTTCCTGGTTCTCTATTTATGTGGTTGTTGTCTTTGTTAAGCTCTTTGAGATCCGAACTCACAGACTGGGGTGTATTCCGAAAAGCACGGCAAGTGCTCGTAATGTCAAAATTTTTTCACCTCTCAAAGTGCACACAATCATACCGACTTGCTCTCTTCTCGATGCCAATTTAAAAAAGAATGGATCGTTGGCAAAACACAAGAGGACATTTTTTGGCATTCAAAACATCTTTTTCTGAAATTTGTGTCTTTTTTATTGCTTTGGTTTTTATTTCTTCTGTGGCTTTCATAATGTTCCTCTCCATAACAGTATGGTCTTTCACTCCACTTTTCTTTCTGGGAATTTTGAACACCTTTTCAAACTCAGGATGTTCGGCTATGAATTGAGGAGACACCAATTCGACAAGCTTTGTCGATACAACAATATGAACTCCAATGGTTGACAATGGATTTGAAGGCAGCGTCGAAGGGCTTGACATTAAAACTGATTTTTTAATTGAAACATTTACTAAAAAGTTATAAAAATCCAGTATTTGTGGGGAAAGAAGTATACTAATTACCAAAAAAGAGTTGAAAACAATAGTTTTTATCGGATTTTAATTCTCTTTATCTTATTTTTCCAAATAATTTTCATGTTTTTTAGGTCAAGCATAACCGTTATAATTATTATACATATTACAACATATAGCAAAACCAAATATATGGTAAAAATAATGCATTTTTCAATATGAGACATGGAAACAAAATACCCTAATGTTGGTTCTCAAACCCCAATAATAATTACTCTGAAAATTAAAAATAAAATTTTGTCATCCCTTTTTTCTTTGTCAAGTGATTTTTCAGCCTTCTGTATTACTTTCTTTTGTGTTTGTCATATATATCTTTTTGTTATTATTTTTGGTTTGTTCTTATTCATTTCAACATAACAACAAGAATGATTTAGTGACTTTTATTATATGTTGATAAATAATAATATTTTAATTATTATAAATAATAATATCTTGTTATAGAAGCATTTGTATTCTAAGGGCAAAATATTACCATTCTAAGGTGGATATTTGTATTCGAGTCCCTGCAAATACATTTTTTGTTTTTATATAATGTTTTTAGATCAAATGAATAAAGAAGAATATCTTTAACCTTACGATGGTGTTTGTGTAATTTAAATATCATTTATTTTCAATATTTGTTTTTTGGTAATTTATTTTTTATTTTTAATTATCAATATAAAATTAATCCCAAAAACTCAAAATTGGAAATAATAAACTATATTTTATTTATGACTAATTTATTTGCACAATCAATACAAACAAAAACGGAATGTAAAGGACACACCGGTTAACAGTAAAAATAGCAATCACTTTAAATTCTCGATTTACATTGGCCACTACAAAGTTTACATGTTCCCAACTTTTCAAGTTTTGTACATAGTGACTTTTTTCTTATTGATTCAACTTTTTTTGCTCAATTGGTATAAGTTCCAACGTAGTGTTCACTAATGACGGAGCTTGACATAAAAGTACAGCCGCTTTAACTATACATATTGTATTATTAACATCAAAATATATAATTACATTTTCACTGAAAATGTGACTAAGTATGACAGATTGTTCGATTCTTTAGGTACTTTTAGCTCTTGTTTTGACGTGTGACTGACACAACATTATACTCAAATCAATCAAGAATTTTTCTCTTTTGATCGTTTTGTTTATATAACAACGTGCATTTAAAACACATATATCCACAATGTTAAAAAAACATTGCCAAAGGCCACTTTTTCGTACCTCTTATACAAGAATACTGTTTTACCATTATGTCGAACCGAATCGACTCCTCCCATGTTTTTGTTATAACTTATTTGAATTTCAAATGAACCACTTCTTTTATTTAAAATAATAAGTTTTTTTGGTCGACAAAAATGTAACAGCTTTATTTGGTTTATCATAATAATTCAACATGACAATTTCAAATGGAGTATTTCTTATTACCAGTTTGCATATTTTGACTAAATTTAAAGCCAAAAAACTTTTGTGACATTGTTTTTCTTTGAATTTTTTTGTGACGATTATTCGTTTTTTTTTCTACAAGTTCCCACAACATCAATATCTCGTTTTTTAATTCAAGAGCAATATCAACAGTTGTAAATAAATTGTTTATATAAAGAGTCATATTAGTTCCATAAAACGGAAAAATCAAAGCTTCAACAATTTTTCTATTTCTTTTTCTTCATTTCCACCATATTTTCCTAAAAATGGTTTTGCGTTTATTACCATCCCTTTATAGTTGTCTACCATGAGCCACAATTTTAACCCAAATTTGCCTGGTTTGGAAGGAAGATACTGCCTAAATCTTCAATGACCGAAATAGTCGACTAATTGTTCATCACTGCAAACAGTACCAGATACTTTTTTATTTATATAGCCACTAGCCAGGTTTTTAGAAAAACAATCAAATAATCTTTTTATTCTATCAAAATTTGTTATATCAGTATACGACTTATTATCAGTTTCAGTATTTTGTTTTTGTGCTTCTTTTACAAATTCAACATCAACAACATCTTTTAATAATCGCTATTACTTTTGCACACAGAATCGTTTTCTCCAAAATCACTGAAATCATCTTTCTCCAAATTCCGTGTTGATGCAACAATTTCAATATTTTTTTCAGATATAAGTAAACCACTTTTTTTCAAAAACAGTATAAAAGTTGGATGTTTGAGAAAATGTTGGGATTTGTTTTTTTGGTTGGTTTGGACTCGATTATCTTTTTTCGATTCTTTCCGGGTTCGGGGTAGTAATAACACGTTTCGTCATACGATCTTAATTAGTTCTGACGCGTTTGTATCGAACCTTAACGCACTCAACAATATTTTTAAACGTTGTTCGCTCATCACTGCTCTGTAAAAGGGGTTGCTGTGCCTACTATACAAAAAACAAGACTTTTCTATTGTCATTTGTGACACCTTGAAACAGTAACAATCCAACAAAGGCATCAAATTCTGTACAATTCAAAAAATTCCATCTTGTTCCTTAAACAATTTCCCTACATTGTTTGTATATAAAATAATCATATCTTCCATTTTAAAAGTAAAATCTTCACTGAAGTCTATTACAGAAGGATCAAATATTTCTAGGAATGGTTTACATTACACCCGACTTCTATTTTTCCCAAAAATAAACATGTATATCGACACCTTTTTTCTTTGTTGAATATATCTTTAATATTACTTCCATGAAATATTATCATTATGTTGCTTATATACTAAATGTGATATGATGTGTCCTGTATTTGGTGATATTTGGTTAACAAATGTTAAGACTTTAGTTTTCAATATAATTTGCAAATGTATTATTGTTTTTTTGTTTTACATGATTTTTGAAAACGATATTTATAATTACAAAAGCGGCATTTAAGTTTGTCAAAAAAAATGTTATTTATTTTGTTTTAATAACACCATTGTAAGGTTAAATCTGTTCGAATATTTTAGTCAACAACTCAAATTGAAAAATTGATAATATTTGAAGAAGTGTTTTTTCCAAAATCTTGACGTATTTATATATATTTTTACAAATCCGGTCACCTTTCTGTGTTTTTCTGGACAAGTATCTTTTCACGAACCATCTTTTTGAACGTATTAATTTTTACCATGGTTGTAAAAAGTTTAAAGCGTTTTTGCAATTTTCTCTCTAAAATACACTCAAAATGAATAAGATTATGTTGAGAAGACATTTTTAGAAATTTCTGGAATAGTTAATTCAACAAAAGTTACAGATTCGAAAACAAAATATTTAATTGTTGTACACCAAAATGATTGGCCAATTGCGCGACAATTAGACTCGTTAGACAATTATAATCACAACAAATAGACGCTTTTGACAGTAACAATATTTATTTAATAAAATGTTACAAAAACATTTAGAGACATTTAATTTGATGTTTTGACAAAATAATTTAGAAGACAATTAACTTATTTTAAAATATTTATAACATTTTAATCAAACACAAAAATTTAAAATGCAAATGTTATTAAAATATTGATAAAAAACAAAAACTATGATTAAACTAAAAAATATTTATATGTTTTATATTTTCATATTTATTATGTATGCTCTTTCCCTTGACTGGTGTTGGAAAGGTTTCATGTTACACTGTTTTCAAGAGGAAATAGAACACTATGAGTCTTCTTTTGTTTTTTACACAAATGGGTCGCTAGTCTTTTTGGTAATCATTTACAAAATGTCAAAATTTCGTGTACCTCAATCTTTCTTTTAGTAATCGATATTCCAAAAGATTTGGCTTCAATATGGGTTTCTTTGAATAACACCCAGCTTTTTAATAAAAAGAAGACCGACCAGTTGGTTAAAAAAATTGTTGGAAAATCCGAATTTTTCTTATTAAATGATTTTATGAAAACATCAAAAAACAACACTTCCAATTTAAAAAGTGGAGGAGTTAACTGTGAAGGTTATTATAACAAATATTGCTCAAGTTGTATGAGTGGCAAAATGAGTTGCAAACAATGTGAAAATGGGTATAGCCCCATGTATGACACGACTAACAGCAATATCGTTCAATGTGCAAACATTTTGACAACAGGGCAGTATTGGTGGTGTGGCGCCACAACAAAAATATGGTTGACACAAATGGGTATTGTATAGTTCAGAATTGTGACAATGGAGTAAGTAAATCAAAAGGAAATGCGGGCGTTTGCTATCAGTGCTCAAGCAATTATCCGTATTATTATGAAAACAATTGCCACAAATGTCAACAAGGTTATAATTTCAAAAATGGTATTTGTAATCAATGTAATGGGTGTTCGACTTGTTACAGTAATGGGTGTAAAGAAGGTACGTGTTTAGAAAGTTTTTATGGGAAACAAGTTTGGAATAATGAACAACAATATTTTGAATATCAATGCATTGCATGTGGAGTAGGATGTTCTTCTTGTACTTCTGATGGTTGTTTGGCATGTAATACTGGGTTTTATCTCAAAGATGGAGTTTGTACAACATGTCCCAACACTTGTTCTTTGTGTTCCACAACAAGTTCAGAGTGTATACAATGCCAGCAAAACTATGTGTTCCAAAACCCCAAAACAGTCGAATAAAATTTGTGTTCTACTTTTGACTTGAATTTTAAAACATGTGATTCAAATTATCTTAAAAATGTTATGAGTGTCAAATTGGGTATTATCCATCTTCCTTGACTTACAAATGTACTAAATGTTTTCTGACTTGTGAATTGAATGTGTGTAACACATATACTGGAGTATGTCAGACATGTGGTGACAATTACACAATAACAACACCTTTAGAAATAACGTGTGGTTTATGTTCTGATTTTGATTCATATTGTGAAACCTGCTCAAAAACAACAAGAAAATGCAACAAATGTAAAGCTGGTTATTACCCACAAACCAATTCACCATTTACATGTCAACAATGTGATGATACATGTGGTAACAAATGTGATCAAGTATACGGGTATTGTACTTCGTGCAAACTTGGTTATGTTTTAAAACTTGATAAACAGTCTTTAATATGTGAGTCTTGTCAAACATTTGACCCGAATTGTCAGACGTGTAAAGAAAACGGAGAGAGAAAGTGTCTGACTTGTGTCAATAAGTACAGACCCGCAAGTAACGGGACTTGCATCAAATGTGATTCAACCTGTTTGGACAACTGTGATGGAACAAGTGGAATTTGTACTAAATGTGTGAGTGGTTATGTTCCTCATAAACCGCAGCAAACAATTTGTCAAGAATGCACATATTTTGACACAAGTTCTATAAACTGTGCAACAAACAACACCCGCACTTGTGTAAATTGCAAGATTCAAATGTATCCATCTGCACAACAAAATGGCGACTAATTTTGTAAATTGTGATTCAACGTGTGCTGATTGTGACACTACAAATGGTAACTGTAAAAAGTGTTCAACGCTAAATTTTGTTGTTACAAAACCGATGTCAATACGATGCGAAATGTGTTCCACTTTTGATTTAAATTGTGAGACGTGTTCTGTTGACTCAAGTCGTGTTTGTACAACATGTAGAAGCGGTCTTCGTCCAAACACAACAAGTGGGAAGTGTGTTGGGTGTGGGTTGCACTGTGTATCTGGTGCATGTGACCCAACGAGTGGGATTTGCAATCAATGTGTTACAAATTACGTGTTTCAGAGCACAAATACTGACCAATGCGAGAGCTGTTCGACATTTGACGCTAATTGCATCACATGCGCATCAGACCCAACAAGGAAGTGCAAACAATGCAACACGGGGTATTACCCGAAGACATCAGGCGACTACAAGTGTCAGAGTTGTGATGTAACATGTGGTGGAAAGTGTGACACAACAACTGGAGTGTGTGCTGGGTGCCAAAGTGGGTATGTGCCAACATCACCAATCACAAATAAGTGTGTCACGTACAACACTTTTGACACAAATTGTGTTGAGTGTGTTGATGATAAGAGAGAGTGTGCAATATGTCAGAGTGGGATGTATCCAAACAACGTGAAACATTCACTCTCTGTGATGCAAGTTGTACTGGGCAATGCAACACATCAACTGGTGTCTGCACAGGCTGTACTACAAACCACGTCTTTACTGATCCGCCAGGAAAAGTGTGTGTTACTTGTAAACTATTTGACACAAAATGCATCACCTGTTCACCAGACTTTTCAAGAAAGTGCAAAGTGTGTGCAAATGGGTTCTATCCTGACGATGCATCTGGCAAATGTGTTGCGTGTGCGACAATAACAAATTGCAACACGTGTTCATCTGATACAAAGAAGTGTTTGGCGTGTAAAGATCCGTTTATTCAGAAAAGTGGTGGTTGTGAAAGCTGTCCGATTGGCGAATATAAGTTCAGTGAAACAACATGCATAAAGTGTTACAACACAATTGACAATTGTAACACTTGTGATACAATATCTGTTGGCAAAGCAAATTGCACTGCTTGTATCTACCCTCACGTTTTTAATGGCACAAAATGTGAATTGTGCCAACCAAATGAATATTATGACAACACAACAGGCACCCCAAAGTGTGTTAAGAATGATATTAACTGTGACATTTTATCAAACAAAGAAAATTGTCTGGACTGCAGTGACACTTTCTTTGTTTCCAACTCAAAATGTGTTTCATCTGGTGGTTGTGAATCACCGACTTTAACTTCGTGTGACTGTTCAGACCAAATATCGATCAACTCAAAATGTACATCACAAATAGAACATTGTAAATACCAGAAATCAGAGAAGGGTGTTTCGACGTGTATTACATGTGATGATGATAATATTCTGAACTACGGTGGTGTGTGTGAACAACAGAGTGTGTATGGGTTGGTGAGAAATGGTGTTGCTTTTGGTTGCAAATTAGGAACGTATTTGACAAATCAAAACACGTGTGACAGTTGTAGTGGATCAAATGCAGTTTGCACAACTCAAAACAAGTTTTTGAAGTGCGGTGATTCAACAATACTTGATATAGAACAGATGGCGTGCACCACCGATACACAATGTAATTCAGTTGTCGATGGACTGTGTGTTCAATGCAAAGAAAACGACTTTGAAATTAGCAAAGGAAGGTGTTCGAAATGTGAGACTGAAAATTGTGACCTGTGTGTTGGAAGAAAGTGTCAAATATGCAAATTAAATTACTTGATGTACAGCGCTAATCGGTGTGTTAACAAGGAACAGGTCAATTGTGAACGTATAAGTAAAAATGGATGTGCACAATGTAAAGCCGGATATTATCAAGTTGACACTAATAACATTGAAGGCAAGTACGACTTCTGCACAAAAACAGATGTTGAGTTGCACTGCAAATACTACTCACTTAATACCACAAAATGTATTGAGTGCCAAGACGGCTTCAACATGAAAGTTGGGGTGTGTGCTGAACAATTTGATGATCTCAATAAAGTCAAGACACAAAATGTGTCAGTAATTAACAAGAAAAATAAACTAAAATCACAAGAAGAAATCGACTGTTTGACAAGAAATAACAAAGGATGTCAACGATGTCCAAGTGGGTATTACCTGAACAAAAATGGTTGAGAGAAATGCACGAATGACTGTATAAGTTGCTACAATGCAACATATTGTATTTCATGTCATAGTGGATACTTTTTAGACTTGTTTATGAAATGCCAAACACTTGGTGAATTGGAAAAGAGGTGTGAAGTGACATTACCGACTGGTGGAGGGTGTGCTATTTGCAAAGTTGGGTATTACAAATCAGAGAAAGACTGTGATGTGTGTGATGAGTCGTGTGATATGTGTTTAAATAAAAATACATGTTTGTCATGTAAAAATGGGTACTTCAAAATTGCAAATGAAACAAACAAAATATGTTCATTAAACACAACACCAACAAATTGTTTGAAGTCAAATCTCGAAGGGTGTGTACTTTGTAATGAGTCTTATTATTTACAAAATGGGCGTTGTATTAATTGTAAAGAGAGTTGTGCAACATGTGAAAATAGTGTAGCGTGTTTATCGTGTAAAATTGACGAAGTCTTAGTGAAAGGGAGTTGTGTTTAATATCACACGATATTGCATTGTATTTCGGCATATAACTCGAAGTGCACTGCTTGTAAAGGGAGTTACAAAGTATCGGATGATGGCGAGAGTTGTGTTTCTAATACCAAATATGGTGTTGTAATTGGGATATAAATTGCCATCTTTTTTATCATAATATTATTTGTATTCATTTACTTATATCTGACAATCAAAATACATCAAAAGCGTATTCTACACAAAGTTGATAAGAACGTGTGTACATTTAATATAAAGCGATCTTATATCTCGATAACTCCTTTGTATGATTCTCTTTGTACCAACAAAAAAATTTTGAAATTTGATTTAGAAAACGATGAATTTTAGTTGACAAAGAGACAAGGGATTTGATATGTATTGGTAATATATCAAAACACAACATGAAAGTGCAGCTTAGTGTAATGAACGGGTGCGATTATTACACTATTAGAAGTGAACATTCTCTTGTTACACTCCACAAAGGTGAAGCTTGTGGGTTTGGTTTATTTATCGCGCCACTGTGTTCATGTCATATTAATGATAAAATAGCAGTTATTGCACTTGATATTACAAGCGGACAACAAATCACAACAAATGTAACTGTTAATGTAACCACAGAACAATCAACAAAATTGAACTACAGAGAAATTGAAGAATTAAGTCAAATTGGGGAAGGTTCCTTTGGTATTGTGTATAAAGGAACATTCAAAAATAATACAGTTGCAACTAAGAAAATAAAAAACAGTAAAGAAGATGACAATGCAATGATGGAGTTTGAAAATGAGGTAAATGTGTTAGACAAATTCCGATGTGAGTATATCGTCCACTTTTATGGCGCAGTGTTCATACCAACTAATATTTGTATGGTCACTGAATTTGCAGAGTACGGGTCGTTACAAGACTTGATTAAAAAGAGAAAAAAAACTGATGCCATCGACATGAAAATGCGTGTTAAAATAATGTTAAATGCATTACGTGGTATATCGTATTTACATGATAATGAGATATTACACAGAGACATCAAACCAGACAATATTCTTGTAATATCACCAAATGTTAATGACAAAGTAAATGCAAAACCGACTGACTTTGAAAGTAGTAGAAATGTAAACATGTTAATGACTAATATGACTTTCACTAAAGGTATTGGAACTCCAGTCTATATGGCACCTGAAATACTTAAAAAGGACAAATATAAGAAACCAGCAGATATTTACTCATTTGGAGTGACTATGTATGAATGTATTGGGTGGTGTCAGGCATACACAAAACATCAGTTCAGATTTCCATGGAAAATAGCAGAGTTTGTTATTAACGGCAAACGAGTTAAAAAGAAAGAAAATATACCTCAAGAACTTTTTGATGTCATTCAAAAGTGTTGGGCACAAGATATGAGTAAAAGAATCGATTCTACAACTATTGTTAATTTTTTTTACTAATATCACATTTTAATTATCTTTTTACTCTTTAATGTTTTTGATATTCAAAAATTGGTTATTTTAAAAACACTAAAAATTTGTTGTAAGTTAGTCTACTAACGACATAAAAATGATAATGTAAAATTACAACCTGATAGAAAAACAAGTTTTGGTGTTTGTAATTCGGCGATTTTAACAGGAACAACAATGTGAATGTCACAATTTCCGAATGAACATTGATTTCCCTTGTTTTCTTGTTGCATGTTTTATTTTTATTATTAACTTCAAAAAACTAATCAAAAATTTTAAATTGTCAAGGTTTGACTATATTTTTTTAATTTTTCATGTACATTAATCTAAGTTGTAGTGAAGTACCAAATTACATGAATGACATTTTCGTGTTTAATGTTTTGTAAAATTTAAAATAAAACAAGAGAATGCGACAAATATGTCAGTTAAGTTGGAAAACAACAACACTCTTTGGAGTGAAAAATTTGTTATCAGCCAACTCATTTTGTTTGGCGGTGTAAGTGCGTTGTGGGTTGTTGCAAAAACTTCCGTTTTCACCTTTCTTGTACACACATATATCACCACTATAACCAAATAAAAATAGACTTTGATCGTTTTGAGAATATAGAAAAAATTCACCATCACTGTATTTTCTAGTCTTACCAAACTTTTTTGGATTCAGAATGCCATTTCTCACAAGTGAAAAGATGTACGAATCGCCACCATTGAGATAAGCGCCAACCTCATTTATATATCCAGTAAACACGCCACCAAACTTGTTGTGATTTGTGTCTTCAATCAAAAAGCACAAGTTGTTGTTCATAACTTTATCAATAAACACCGAAGTGTCTGTTGACCAGTCGTCTTTGTCTGGGTCAAAAACAACACTTCCTAATTTGTACCCCGTCAATTTCTCAAGACCAGCTTTCTCTTCAAGTGTGATGTGTTCACGCTTCATTGTCTCTTCTTCTTCATCGTCTTCTTTTTTTATTGAATTGATGAATTTCTCTGATTTCGTAATTTGATCAACTTTAGAGTTTTTAATTTGTTCAATTTTATATATCTGGTCTGTATCTTTAAGTGGTTTTGTGTCTATATTGCATTTTTCTTCATAAAGTGCAATTTTGATATTAAATATTTCATACAACTTCTCGTTGTCACTCTCAGTTGAATACAGACTTGTTTCACTTTTGATTTTGTTGGATGTGTTATTTAAATTGGTGACAATCATGTTGAGTGAAGTTGTGATGTTCTTCTTTCTCTCGAATATTCCATCAAGTCTGTTGAAGTGTATCTCTGCATTTTTAATGCGTTGTGTAATGTCGAGTGACTTGTCGTCAACAAAGTTGTATTCCTTTTTTAATTTGTGGAAGTCTGACACTGTTTTTGCTGCGTTTGTGCAGAGTTCTGAGAGTGCTGTTAAATCGGTTTCCATTGTATGTTAATGGAGTTTATTTGTTTTTATAATTAATTTTATTTAAATCTCATTCAAAAACATCATTACCTCATTCATAATAATTTTTGAATTGAATTATCAAATTTCAAATAATTTAAATTTATATAAAATGATTTTAATTTTAAACCAGAGTATAGTAAATAAATTATTATACCTAACTTTTTGATTTCGTGTCAAAAAAGACAATTAAAAAATAAATTATTATAAAATGATAAATATAGGTGAGCCACAGAACCGTTAAAATAAATAGAGCCCTTACGGAACAAAAAAGAATTTTTTTGTTCTTTTTGATGATAAAAACGTTCAATTATTTCTTTTTTTTGAACTTCGTTTTTGTATTAACCGGCCAATAGTATTTTTTTTCTTGGGCAAAATGCACTAGACGCAAAAAATGCGTTTTTTTCCCTATAAATATAAAAATGAGAAAAAAATCTAAAAATAATCTACATATAAATTTGCTATTGTTTGAAAAGGCATCTTTCAGCAGTTTTCACATTGTCGACATACAGCAAGAGATTAGACACCAAATTTTTACAACTATTATAATGCAATTTCAACTTTAGGTCTGAAATATAATCGACCACTTTTTTCACAGACACTAGTAATGAGTAGAAAAATCTTTATTATAACTGTAACAACATCGGAGTAGCAAGACAAACTTATTAAACTGGAAAACAAAATTCGGATTTGGTTTTTTTTTCATTTTTGCTAAATACTCAGGATTTTATGCAAATCATTTTTTCTTAATAAATAATATTTTGGGCAAAAATGCTTTTTTGAAGAAAAAGTTCAATAAAATAAGAAGGAAAAAAAATATAAAATTGTTTTTTCGAATAAAAGTTTCTCTTTTTAAGACTGAAAAATTTAAGAAAGTTTTGAGTCTTATTTTTGTCCCAAAAGTACAATTTTAAAAAATATGTTAGACAAACGAAAACAAATCATAATTTTGATATTTCATTTGAAATAGTAAGTTATTATAACAAACAAAAAAAAATCCAAAAAATACATTTTAATTGTCAAATATTAAAATAAATTATTATTATTATAGTTTTATTTATAAAATATTATAGAATTTACAACCAAACCAAATATAAAGCCAAAGTTTATTGTTAAAAAAAAAAACTGTCTATAAAAATAATAATAAACTAAAAACATCGAATGAATAAATACGAGCTGATTGCATTAGCTTTGCAAAGTGGAAAACACTTTTCAGAAATTGAAAAGTTGTTCAAAATGTCTCCCAAAAAGTTGCAAGAATCGCAAAATGTTTAAAGAATGGAGAACCAATAAAGGTATTAAAGAGGGGAAGAAAGAAAATAACATTTGATGTCGAAAAACTGATTCACAAAATTACAACTAAAAATCATTTGTCTTCTTGTAAAGAAGTTTC